ATCACAAATTACCAAAGTTTCTAATCAAGGTAAGTTAATCAGTGTCCCCCAGTTGGGTTGAAATAGTTCCGCTGTAAGTTAATTATTTTCTTCCTCCTCAGGTTGTTGCTCCCCCCCCCCTTTTTTTTTTGGTTTACTTGGTTTCTTGCTGTTTATATTGAAAATAGCCCATGCACTCTCTTCAATCATTTCTATTCTTGAAGATTCCTTAGGATCTAGGGCTGGGTAAACAAAAGTAGACATTTCTAATTAAGAAGACTTCTCCTCCACCCCCTACCTCACCCCAGTATCATCATGGTTAAGAATAAGCCCTGTTCCTTTAAGACTCGTGTCACTTTCCATCTCTAAGTCTATTATGCTGTTTGAACACACCCAGCACTTTGTTGAGGCAGTCTAAAAGGTAATCTTGTTTTCATTTTACAGATGGGGAAACTGAGGCACAGGGAGATGACATAACATGCCCATGCTTATCCAGTAATCAGGGACAGATAAGGAGCTTGAATCCAAGGCTTCTAACTTCAAGGATGAGAACTCTTAACAATAGCTCAAATGCCAGCCTTTGCTTATACTTAAAAGTAAACTTGTTTCATCTCCCTGAGACTTGGCTTCCCAAGCTTTCAAACAGGGGTGACAATCCCTGCTTATCTCAGATAGTGTCCTTCAGACATGCTTCAGGAGTGCAGAGGCCTGGCAGTTCATCCTGATGCTCCAGACAGATGGAAATTAAAAATTAAGTCATTGAGAATCGCCATCAGCTGTGTCTGTCCGGTTACAGAGTGTCCATCTGCCTTGGGCTCTTGGAGCTGAGCTCATCTCTGGCAACTGAAAGCTCAGCCAGGGAAGACAGACCTGGCAGTGTCTCCCCACCAACATCCAGTCTTCTAGCTGGTTAGAGCAGATTTCTAAGTGTCTCACTACGTGAAAGAGAGCGAATCTGAAATGAGGAGTACCCCCGTATCAGGGGAAGGTGGGGTAAGATGGAGAAATTGGACTGCCCAGTGGAATTCCACTGTAAGCTAGTCACCACTGGTGTCCCAGTTCCTTTCCCCTCACCCCGAGACCCAGTCTAAAGAAACGTTTCAAAGGGTACAGAGCCTAAACTATATTTGGAGGAGAGTATGTGCACCGAGGGTGCTGAATTTTCCTCATTCATTCATTCAACAAGTATTTGTTTTCACAGTACCCCTCCCTGTGGGATGTATTATTACCAGTGCCACCTAGCTACTACCTGAGAAGGCAGGGGGCAGGATGCTCAGCGGACGTTGGTATTGACTTCAAGCTCTTTTCCCTGAAACCTGCTCAGCTCCCAGCATAAAGCATTCAAGAAGCACCAAATAAAATGGTGTAATGAAAACAGGAAGGCTGGTTTTGTTTTATTGTTTTGTTGTTGCTGCCTTTGTTTTTCCTGGCCACACATTTGTATTCCATTCCCCACCCTCCTTTCTTCAGTCCTGGGGGCATGGGAGTAGAGTGGGAGAGAGAATTCCCCAGATGAAGGCTGGCAGATGCAGCTCAAGGGCCCCTGGGACTCTAGTAGCAAGAGAAACTGAATAGCAGAGTGCAGGGATGTTATTCAAAAAAAAGGGACTCGCAGCAGCTTTGTCAGCAGAATCTTGGGGGAGAAAACAGTTCTCTCTCTCTCCCCCTCCCTCACCCTTCCTCTCTTCCTCCCTCCCTCTCTCTCCCATTTCCCCCAATTTCCTATCCCTCTTTTAACCCTCCCTCTGCCTATCTATCTATATATCAACTACATACTACATATAACTGCCTATCTAAGTACATATTTACCTACCTATGTCTACCTCTGTCTCTCCTCCAGAACCTCCAGGGTCCACTGGCTCTAAGCAGACAGATAGGTTGAGGTCTTCAGCATAATCAGGAAGAAATTAACCTTCACAAGAACTCAACTCTAGCCCCAGTCCCTGCCACTCTGAGGTCTCTTTGATGAGGGCATGAATCAACTTATCTTAGAGAGCAGATCATGGGTGATCTTATGATAATCTTACCCTATTTGTCTTCGTATTCGAGGAAAAGAAAGGTGGTCCCAGGAGTCCGGCAACCCCGTGACCTTATCCTCAACAGGGTGTGCCTTCATTATTCTGTAGATACGGTGTGCAGGGGGAAGACCTCTCTGCTAGATATCAAAAGCCCAGGACCCTACTTCTAGCCCTACCACCAACTCTGTTGTCTGGAAGCAGATGCCTTACCTCCTATGGCTCTTAGTTTTCCATTCGATAAAATAGGTGAAGGGGCTGAGATTGTACACATCATCTCATGAAACCACTGCAACAATGCTGGATAAATATTATCTCCATTTTTTTTTTTAATGAGGGAAATGAAGTTCAGAGAGGTTAGGTTATGTAAGCCCTGTGCTGCTTGTATATGGCCGAATTCGGATTTGAACCTAGTTTTGTCTGATGCCAAAACCTATGCCCTATGCAGTTCCCTTTCTTGGGTTTCTAGAGAGTAAAGTCTGGATTGATGGCTCATCACTCTTGGATTGGGCCTGAGTTTTATTATATGTAAGTTGGCTCCATTCACCAAGAGGTTGGAGCTACTGAGAAGTGCTGAGCCTGTATTCTTTCCATGCTTGAACTGCCGGGCATGCTACTGGTCACTGGAGTCCTCAGCTGGCTCAGACTCATCCTTAAATAATTGAATTATAATGGACTGATTTATTCTGGCTCTTTTGATAGTATTTCACTATGTAAACTGTTTGCAGAAATAAACAAGGGATTTTGGAGCTTGGAAGGGGCTCGACATTCTGCTGCCCCTGAATTCAATGATTCCTTTTTCCAGATAGTCAGCATCACAGAAATCCAAGTCTTATTTCTACTTGACCCGGGCTCTTTCTATTTGGGGGAATGCTGCTTGAAAGGGTTTCAAGTGAGTACTGATTTTATACGCTGATTCAATTCAGCCACTTAGGAATAAATTGAACCCTTAGGAGAGTATTTTTTCTCTTGACCATTATTTTATTTTATATTTTTAAAGGGTTTTTTTTTTTTTTTTTTTTGATGTGGACCATTTTTAAAGTCTCTATTGAATTTGTTACAATATTGCTTCTGTTTTAAGTTTTGGTTGTTTGGCCGCGAGGCATGTGAGATCTTAGCTCCCCGACCAGGGATCGAACCCACACCCCCTGCATGGGAAGGCAGAGTCTTAACCACTGGACCGACAGGGAAGTCCCTTGACCGTTATTTTAGAATAAAGCTCATTCCTGTGCATTTCTTATGAAAGTTGTATGGCTATCTTGAGAGGTTGTCCTGGCTGGGACAGTGATTTCTGTATTACAGATGGGAAGCCAGTGACGCTAATTGTGCAGAGTTACATAGCTAATATAAGGGGCAGAAGCCAAACCCTGGTTAGAAATGGGGCTTCACGCCATCATTTTGTAGTAAGTAGGGGAAGGATGGCCTAGATCAAGCAGTATCCTCAGGGTGACCATATGTTCTGCGGTATTTAGATTTTCTCAGGATATGTGCGTATCGCCTGGACAGTTTTTACTAGCTTTCTCTCTCACTCTCAAAGTGCATTATTTGGATGATAAATTATAAGGTCACTCCAAAACACTGGATAGGGACTAGATTTTGAGGAGCTCACTGCCTTTTGAAGGAGCTGCTGTATGTAAACATGATGGCCACACAGTGGGATAAGTGTAAAGATGGGGATCCTTGTAAAATAGGAACCCACATAGGAGGGGGCACTTAGCTTTTCCTAGCAGAGTTGGGGAAGTATCACAGAATACCTGACATTCAAGTTATTAAAAGTTGGGCAGGGTGATCTCTTTTGGACGGCTACCTCCAGATTTCTCCTTGTGTGGTTCTATATTGCAACACCAAGAAACGTGTACTGTGTATGTCCTACTTACTTAGAAGTCATCCAGTTAATTCTGTGCTTCTCTGATCTTTGTTCTTGCAGCTAAGTGAGCATCATTGCAGCCAGCTGCAGCTTTAAATTGTCCCAAGCAGAACTCCTTGCTGGGATGTGAATTACATGGGAGCTTGAGAACTCACTTGGCCTTTAACTGAAACACCTAATATATCCAACAAGGCCCTAGAAGCCTAGCACATTAGACAGGAAGGGCTCCTGGAGTCTCAGTAGCTTCGTCCCCTTCAATGATGATTGAGCCCAGAGAGGGAAAGAGATGTGTCTAAAGGAACAGAGCAATTTAGTTACAGACCTGGGACTGAAGCCAGAGTCTCTCATGTATCAGTGCACTCTTTATGTCAAACTGTAATCCTCTTTAGAGTTAAATAAACCTCAGTTTGAGACCATGAAGTTCTGTGGTGGCAGATAACGTACCCAGAACTTGGACAGTGGAAAGCCTGAGTTTGAAACTAGGGTCTGGCATGAACGCACTGAATGACCTTGGGCAAATTATTAAAGATATGTGGGATCTCGGTTTCCTAATCTGGAAGACTAAAATAATAATTTAAATAATAACATCTTTCTCACAAGCTTGCTGTGGGGCTTATTTGGGGTAATGAAGGTGGAAATGTTTGTCAACTTTTGTTTGTGTGTGTGTAGTAAAAATCACATAATACAAGGTCTACCTTCTTAACAAATCTTTAAGTGTACATACGGTTTTGTTACCTGTAATCACAATGGTGTACAGCAGATCCCTAAAACTTATTCATCTTGCATAACTAAAACTTTATACCCATTGAACAGTAACTCTGAAATCTCAACCCCCTCCTGCCAGCCCCTGGCAACCACCATTCTCCTGTCTCCTTCTATGAGTTTGTTTTACATACATCATATAAGTGGAATCATACAGTATTTGTCCTTCGTGTAATGTCCTCCGGGTTCATTGATGTTGTCACATAGGGCAAGATCGCCTTCTTTTTAAAGACTGAACAATATTCACCCGGGACTCCCAGTGACGGGCGTGACCATGCTGATGGCGCTGCTGACCTGATTCCACAGCTGCTAATGACAAATGAGGCCAAAGAACAAACATTGATCTGGTCTCTCCCTTCTATGTCTATCTCCTGTAGATGAACCCAGCCGGTGCTATTTCCATGATGGTGATGGGGTATGTGAGGAGTTTGAACAAAAAACTAGCATCAAAGACTGTGGTGTCTACACGCCCCAGGGGTTCCTGGATCAATGGGCATCCAACGCTTCCGTATCCCATCAAGACCAGCAGTGCCCAGGCTGGGTCATCATCGGCCAACCAGCAGCATCCCAGGTAAGCTCCCAGCCACACGTAACATTTCCTGCAGACATTCTGAATCTCTGCTCTGCCCCTCAAGGTTGCCCATCACAAAGAACAGTGTCATCGGACATGGCCACTTGATCATATCTCTAGCCAAATATAATTTTTTTTTAATGCATATATAGGGAATTCTGTAGCAGTCCAGTGGTTAGGACTCCACGCTTTCACTGCCAAGGGTACGAGTTCGATCCCTAGCGGGGGAACTGAGATCCTGTAAGCTGCGCAGCGTGGCCACAAAAAAAAAAAAAAAAAATGCGTATATAACTTTATCATATTTGTATCAAATGTTCCTCCATAGGACTGTACCATTTTATATTCTTATCGGGAATGTATGAAAGTGTTTGTTTCTCTCCAATTTTAACAAGAGTGTATTGTCAACTTTTGCATTTTTACTGTCTCCATAGGTAAGAAAATGTCATCTCACGTTGTTTTAATTTGCATCTCTTTGACTACAGTGAAATTGAGATTCTTTTTGTGTGTATCATGGTCATGTTCCTTTCTTTTTCTATGAGCAGTCTCTTTATCCCATTTTTCTATTGGGACTTTGGTCTTTTTCTTCCTGATGGTTAAAAGTGGTTTATTTACCAGCGAGATGAGCCCTTGTTTGTGACGTATGTTGAAAATATTTTTGCCCAGTCTGCAGTTTTTCTTTTGACTTTGCTTTTAATGCTTTTTTCAAAATTTTTTATAAAGTCATTTTTTAAAAAAAATTGTATTGATATGTAGTTGGTTTCCAATGATGTGTTAATTTCTGCTGTACAGCAGAGTGACTCGGTTCTACACACATATATTCTTTTTCATATTCTTTTCCATTATGGTTTATCACGGGATATTGAATATAGTTCCCTGTGCTGTACAGTAGGACCTTGTTGTTTCTCTATTCTATATATACTAGTTTGCATCTGTTAATCCCAAACTCCCAGTCTTTTCCTTTCCTACCCTCCTCCCCCTTGGTATCCACAAGTCTGCTCTTTATGTCTGTGAATCTGTTTCTGTTTCATAGAAGTGATATCATATGGTATTTGTCTTTCTCTTTCTGACTTACTTCACTTAGTATGATAATCCCTAGGTCCATCCATGTTGCTGCAAATGGCCAAATGCAATCCTAAGGTCTCATGAGACCTGTTTGTCAGCAACTGGACATGGAAGGGTTAAGGGCAAGAAACACCAGCATAGTAGGGGTACTGACTGTCCTCCTGTGTCCCTACCTATTGTAAGTTATATTTGGGGAAAGCTCTCCATTTTGGATATACCACTGGAATTCAGTGGGATAAGAACAAATTCTTGGGGTGAGTCTCACTTTCGAGGGGGGCAGAGTGTCAAGTTGTGTGCTCCTTGAGCACTCTCCCGTGAATTAACAGTGCCTTTACCATGAATTTGCTGTGTGGCTTTGGGTTAGTGTTCCCACCTCTCTGGGCCCCATTTTCCCCATCTTTAAGTTAGAGAGTAGTTGAGCTGGATGATCTGCAAGGACCTTCCCAACTCTAAAAAGCTGTGACTCGTTCCTTAGTCCCCAAATGCACTAGTTATGTCCCAAGGTTCTTCCCCCAGGGACCGTCAGGTTAGTTGAGGGAGCAAGAGTGTTGGGGTCACCAGAGCTGATGTGATTCTCGGGATGGCCATACTGTCCCCAGAGCCCCCTTTCCAATTATCCTGCTGAACAAGCACCTGCCTTCTTCCGAGATTCCTGTTTCCCAGAGACACGACTCAGTGCTTCCTACTGCCTGGCCCCTTAGCCGTTTCTGAGGCCGGCCTCCCTCCTGGCCTTGCAGATGAGCCATTACTCCTAGCCAGTCCTCTCTAATATTGCTTCCCTGACTCAGGGTCGGTGGGGTAGTTGCGGGGAGGCCTGGTTTCTAGATGAAAGAGAAATGTGACCTTCTGGGGCCCAGTGAAAATAATCTGAAGAGGTACAAAAGGAGTCCAAGCTCACTTACAGTGTTTATTTGATCATTGTTTCATTTATCTGGTTGTGTTTACATGCATTAGATCCTTTATTCATTCATTTGCTTCCGACTGCCCCAAGGAGGATGGAAAGAAATGGAAGCGTGGTATTCCCTGACGTTTCCCATGTGTAGTGCCAGCCGGGTGCATGAGTGAATGAACGAACAAACGAATGAATGAATAAGTGAGCGCTTGTGTAGACCTCATCCTGCCCCGTGCCACCTCTGTATTTGCTGTATCCATCTCTGGTTACACCCAGGCTCTGAACTCTAATTACCTGTTTCTGTGTCTGGCTCCCCCTTTAGACTGCTAGTTTTGTGAAAACAGTTTTGAGATATTATTCACTTTGTTCGCCCATCTTCAAGCACAGGTCTAGATAAGACTAGGAGTTCAGGAGATGTGTATTTAATTGACTGTAGATACACACACACGCGCGCACACACACACACACACACACACACACACGCACACGCACATTGCTACCTCTCTCACACAGAGTGCCCTGCTTCAGGAGCAGCAGGGCTGGCCAGCAATAGAGCCAGGAATTCCAAATTCAGCACCTCCATCCAGTTCCTAGAAATGTTTAAAAAACATCATTCAAACAAGGGTATTATTAACACACTCAGAATCTCACATGAGCAGGTGTTGAGGTAGCAGCTGTGCTTAAAAACCACCCAAAGTTTATTGCTACTAATGTGAGAAAAGGAGAGAAAGAATTTTCCAGTCTTAGCATTTGAAAAGAGACTTTGTGGGGCAATTATTCCAGTCTCCTAAGGAGGGGGCTGTCAGGAATCATGGGTGATTATCTCTTCCTAAACAAAAATCCAATTAAAAAAAATCATTATAAATACTAGCTCTTCGATCTACAAAGAGGAGATGAGGAAACAAAATCATCCTATTGAATTATTCATTGTAACCAATTTTATTTTAATGAAATCGACTAGGTTCCATTACTCTGGGCTTGGACATAATCTTTGTTACAAGGAGACTTCAGCTGTAACTAAATTTGCCATAATGAGATCAACTCACTGGAGAATACAGGGTCAGGGTAGGGGATGTGTGTGCCGTCTGGGTGCAGGCCTGGGCAGGGCGGCCTGGAGGCCTGCAGGCCTGCGGAACAAAAGTCCCCCCCAGTTCCCTGTCTCAAAGCAAGTGCCTAGAAGTCATTCACACACCGCCCCCATCATGCACAAGCCAACATGTGCGCACACACACACGCAACCTGCATAACTCTGAGTAAAGGCTCTTCCTGGAGTGTAAACATGGCTCCCTTCTGACAACAGAGAAGAGGAAGGAGTCTAACCGTGGCCTTCATTACCCTGTACAGTGATTAGAGGAGGCTGGTGGTTAATTTTCACCCTGTCAGGGCCTCCAGTGAAGAGGTTGATGGCTTGAGAGAGGGAGTTGGGGGGTGTTAGACGCACCGTGTGCCCCTTACCTTCCCTCAACACAGTTATACACTCGTCCTTCTCCTCCCTCCTCTCTCTCTCTTTCTGTTTCTTTTACACACATACAGACAGGCACGCACACGCACAAACACAGGAACACCCTACAGGAACAGGCCGTGTCGATGCAGGGGCCCCTATCCAGGGAGTGAATACCAAAGCACAGGGTGGAGAGTGGGGCAGGGAACCAGTGGTTGTCGAGGTCCACCAGCCACTGTACTGGGCCCTCATACACACTTCATAGCCAACCCCCTCGCCATTCTTCAAGGAAAGAATTATTACCTACCTCTGAGAAACTAAGGGCTGGAGTGTTTTCTCCAGGGTCACACAGCCCATAGTGGAAAATCTGGGATTAAAAGGAGCTCGTGGAAGGTGACATAGGGAGCTTGGGAATATGCCGTCCTGTCCAAGAGCTTCAAGTAACTGGATTCCTGCAGAATATCGCTGTGAATCAAGCAGAAAGAGTCGTGGATGGACAGATCTTTGTGTTGGTGGTACTGTGCACGCTCCATGAAGTGCTTGAATTCTCCTCCTACAGACTTCCCCGGGCACTGCCCACACCTTGAGTTCAGGACGCTCCTTTTCCCTGTCTCAGTGGCCCTGTTCCTGGTAGCCTGGTGTTCGCTACGATGCTCCATCAGGTTGGGGAGTGATGAAATGACCTCAGGTGTGTCCATTTCCTTTTTACAAACCAGTCTCGTCCCACTCTCTGTCTTTCCCTGATGCTGGAAGAACGATAAGTGCAGGTGTTTATTGGAGGTCTGTGCCGAGGCCTGGGCTGGAGCCCGCGGAAGAAACCAAAGTAAAAGACCCAACCCTGACCTTGTTAGCGTGCAAGACTTGAGCGTGAGGATGCTATCGGGAGGAGCAGCCCTGTCAGAGTAAGCGGGCAAGTGATCACTGTGGCGACTGAAGAGACACCTCACTCTTTGTGCTGGATGAGTCTAGAAAATGGTTAAAACTTCCATTTTCATTTTTATGTGAGCCCTCCATTTCTCATAGTTCCCAGTCTCTCTTGTCCATTCTCCTGAAACAAGATTCCCAAATTTGGTTAGAGCCAAGCTCCTCCACCCCGAACATTGAGTCTTATATCCAAATGTTATCAGAGTATCAAAACCTGCCGGCTCTGCACAGTGAGCTGAACATTCTATAATAAGGGACATTCTTTGGGTATTTTGGCCATGCACCTTTCTGGCCCAGCTGGATTTCAAGAGTCCCTGAGACAGAACAGAAATGGAAGCGAGTCGAAAGTACTGAGTTATCTCTCTTCTGGGAACCTCAGCCCGATTGGGTTGAAGTGCTTGCAGAGATCTCGTCTTGTTCTCATTTTGTCTCCACGTCTCACCTTCTCCGGTGCTTTACACCATAGGCTGCCAAAGTGAGATGCAGATATTCCTTCATGCTGCCCCCACCGCCTGCATTTCCACCCAAGCCCGTTTCCTCCGGTCCAAACAGGCCCCTCCCTCCCCCTGCAATGGCCTAGGGGGCATTGGAAGCATGAAGACTGTCAGAATGCACAGCGCTCTCCCAGGGATTACAGACCTTCAGTCAACCAACCAGTGTATTGCTTAATCCTTTGAGGGT